CCGTTGTGCCTGGAGCTCTGTGCCCTGTGCTCACCTGTCCAAGGTGAAAGCCTGAGACTCCTCTCCCTCAGTTGTTTGTCTCTATAATCCCCTGAAGTTTCCTTGCCAAAGGAAGCAGTGTTCCATGTGCTGGGTGATACCTACACCCCCAGATGTGAGCCCGGCACTGCAGCTCTTCAGCTGCTGGGGGCGGTAGAGTCAGCCTCTTGGGCTCTCTAGGAATTAAGTTCATGTCAAGGCCAAGGAGTTGGTAGAGAGGAGCAGACAGTGTGAAGGAACCCCCTGGAGTTCCCTGCACTCCATGATTGATGGGACTGGTTCAGGCACTCAGAACCTGCAGCCCTTCACCGCTCTGTGTGGGGTGGCAAGTGGGCCTGGTTAGGGGCCTTTCCCCCTGAGCTGAATGCTGTGCATGGGGCTGTCTCCTTTGGTACATGGTGCCTAGTGTCCCATCCCCCTGTCAAGAGCCATTGGTGACTTGAGGGGAGGGCTGTGCTGTATAATAGTCTCTGGGCACTCTGCTCTTTCTTCCCCAGCTTGGACTTCCTGCACACGGAATACCTGGATGAGCCTGTTGGAGCTTTAAGTGGCTGGGAGACCACATCAGCAACCTTATTTGCTTGGGAGCCACCTAGAGAAGAGAAGAGTGGGAGAGCAGAGAGGACACATTGCTGTGCTAATGTCAGGGTAAGTGTTTTTGGATGTGAGTTTGAGATGGCTGCCAGTTGTGCTGTCTCTGCTGCTGGTGAGTATAGTAGGAAGAGAGCCTGAGTCATAAGCCCTTGTATTAGAGGTCTGGTGTGACATTGCACTCTATAATGTTTTATGGAAATATGCTTATGAGTGTGAATATGATGTAATTGGAATATGCTTTATACAAAAGGTCTCTTGTGAGGTATCATTACAAAGCTTATAATCTACTGAGTGTGGTCATCCTATTTGTATGAATGTATCATCCTTGTATGTGAAGCTAGAAATATGAAGTATGACTCTGAGGTCCTATTGTAATTATGCAAAGTGTGGCCATTAATGGTGGTTTAGAATCTTGATGGCTCCCATTGACTAGGACAAATGGTTGTAAATGGTTTATTTAGATGCAAGCCTTCCTCTATACGTGTATGTCAGCCCATGGGTAATGAAGAATGAAGTCTTACCATGACATGTGACCATGTGACATGATACTGGAATCCATCTTAAACCTGTTGCTTTTCCATTTAGAAGGAGGGGTGGGGACCCAGAGAGACAAAGGATTTCCGCCTTGTGCCAAAGCTATAAAAGGGGGTGGAGCAGGACAAAGGGGGTCCCAGTCATTAGAAAGCCCCTGCTTTTCACCTAAGATGCATGCTGGAACTAACAAGGACTTTACCAGGGGAAAGGATTGGGCCCAGACTAGGAAGGAGTCTAGTCTGTGAAAGAAACTTAATGGAACATCTCTGAGGGTGAGATTTACCTGTAATCAGTTTCTTAATGTATTAGGCTTAGATTTGCGTGTTTTGTTTTATTTTGCTTGGTAACTTACTTCGTTCTGTCTGTTATTACTTGGAACCACTTAAATCCTACTTTTTATGCTTCTGTTTATTGATAAAAGCAGAGTAAGTGATTAATACGTGGGGGAGCAAACAGCTGTTCATATCTCTCTATCATTGTTATAGAGGCTGGACAATTTATGAGTTTACCCTGTATAAGCTCTAGGAGTTGGAGCATTATCAGCAATAGTTTTGAGCTATTATTCAAATCTCAGGCTCTAGGACAAAAATGTTCCATGTAAGCTTTTGTAATCAAGATACGAAAGAGCTAATCAAACCATGAGATTGGCTGCTCCCAGCCACCCAACGAGAATGATGCTGCATTTTTTAAATGGGCAAAGTAACAAGATGCAGGTGCAGGGTGGCAACCAAAAAATCCTGTTCCATTTAGTGTCCACCTGAGAATCAATCCAGGTCTACCCTGAGCCCAGTGCACACTGGGACAGAACTTTCAGGGCATTGTTAGTGCTGAGTAGGTTGGCCTGAGGATGTGGTCCGTATCTTGCTGCTGACTTTCAGTCTATTAGATCTGTTAAGTTTTGCTCAACAGGAGCACTTATCAATCTCCACCTGAACTCCACATAGAATATCCGGGTTGGAAGGGACCTCAGGAGGTCATCTAGTCCAACCCCCTGCTCAAAGCAGGACCAACACCAACTAAATCATCCCAGCCAGGGCTTTGTCAAGCCTGACCTTAAAAACCTCTAAGGAAGGAGATTCCACCACCTCCCTAGGTAACCCATTCCAGTGCTTCACTACCCTCCTAGTGAAAACGTTTCCCCTCATATCCAACCTAAACCTCCCCCACTGCAACTTGAGACCATTACTCCTTGTTCTGTCATCTGCTACCACCGAGAACAGTCTAGAGCCATCCTCTTTGGAACCCCCTTTCGGGAATTTGAAAGCAGCTATCAAATTCCCCCTCATTTTTCTCTTCTGCAGACTAAACAATACCAGTTCCCTCAGCCTCTCTTCATATGTCATGTGCTCCAGACCCCTAATAATTTTTGTTGCCCTCCGTTGGACTCTTTCCAATTTTTCCACATCCTTCTCGTACTGCGGAGCCCAAAACTGGACACAGTACTCCAGATGAGACCTCACCAATGTCGAATAGAGGGGAATGATCACGTCCCTTGATCTGCAGCCAATGGCCCTCCTTATACAGCCCCAAATGCCGTCAGCCTTCTTGGCAACAAGGGCACACTGTTGACTCATATCCAACTTCTCGTCCACTGTAACCCCTAGGTCCTTTTCTGCAGAACTGCTGCCTAGCCATTCGGTCTCTAGTCTGTAGCAGTGAATGGGATTCTTCCGTCCTAAGTGCAGGACTCTGCACTTGTCCTTGTTGAACCTCATCAGATTTCTTTTGGCCCAATTCTCCAACTTGTCTAGGTCCCTCTGTATCCTATTCCTACCTTCCAGCGTATCTACCACTCCTCCCAGTTTAGTGTGAACTCCTCCCAGTTTAGGATGGCTGAAGTGGGAATCCACTCACCACAGGCCCCAATGGCCATAGAAGAAACCCGACCATGAGCTTGCACATATTTCCTACTGGACTCAGCAAACAAATGTGATTGGCTAGAACTCCTAGATCCTTGCTAGAAGAGCAACCCATGCAGCTCTCCATGGTTTGCAGTGAGACATCCCAGCACTGATGCAGCGAGTCTGGGATCTTTGATTTCTCAACAAAATACAGACTTGACAAACATTCTCTCTGTCTAATTGTTTGTGACATGTCTGCGGTTCATTGTGCAGAGTGGCGCCATCACACAGACACACTCATTTGGCATGGCACGCATGTGTCATCCACAATGACGGGCCTGCAATTCATGTTTTCTACCCTTGGGCCCAAGGTTAAGAGTGGCCCTAGCTGTTTTGCCAGCCAGGGCAGAAAATGTTTCCAATATTTTTGGCCCCACCTACTCCCGAGAAACCAAGCATGCACATAAGCACACACACACACAAAGAGCCAGCCAGTTGGACGGGAGCCAACAAATAAAAATAAAAAGCTGAGCTGCTGAGCAGTTTTGCGCCCCCTGGAAGTTACTGCCCTGCTTGCCCACCTCGAGAACCAGCTGTTCCCGCCTGAGGTACCTGAATGTTCAGCTCTCTAGACGGCTCAGTAACAGCATAGCAGGGTTAAATGGATCTCCC